ATGTGGTCCATTATAAAATAAAGAATGGTATTAATTAAGTCTACACATTCTCTTTTTAATTTTCAATAATAATGAAATGCTGTTAAAATATAATTTATAAGTATATTATATTTGATTTATCTCCTTTTAATATGTTTTTCTTAAATTTCTTGGTTAACCCACATATTTTTTTTTTAAAGGTCGAAATTCCAGTTGTCACTTTATTTCAGATTAAAATTAAAATTTCAATGAATCTATAATTCATTCAACAACATCGTATTTCTTCCTTTAAAAACAATGCACAGGATTTTTTTTTTTTTTTTCCCCAATTATCACTCCGTTACATTAGATTTCTCTTTTACCAGTAGAAGTGTAGAATCTAGGAGAGAGCCACCCTTGAGTAGCCCAAACAGTAGGACGAATGTTGGGATATATGATTAAGGTATATAATCTTAGATTTAATTTTTTTGGTTTGCAGAATTTAAGAATTTAAGCAAGCAATCATCATCGTGGGATATTGTGTCAAATAACTATAATGATTATTTGAAGTACGTGTAAGGTGACTTAAACACCTTATTAAAAAAAAAAAAAAGTGTAGAAGGGGGCGACATTTCAAAGCTATCAAACAAAGAATCTTTAATGCAAGGAGCCTTGTTTAGTATGAGGCTTTTTTTATGATTTTTTATTTTTTTTTTTGGCTAAATATATGCACTCACCCATAGTTTGCCGTAAGAACAATTAGTACCAAAAAGTTTGGAAATAACAAACACCTACTTTTCTTTAATATTTGTTTGTTAAGTTTAACCAAAGAATGTTAGAATAGTAAATTCAAAAATAAATGAAAGTTAATTATGTCATTTATCCCTTTCTTCTTCCACATATCTTCTCTCAACTCTTCATCTTCCTCCTTTCTTCTTCAAAGCCGCCGATACCGACTTTCTTTCCTTTTTCCTTCACCTCTCATCACCATCCTCCTCCATCCCCAACCAGATTTAACCCATTTTTGGTTGGAATTTCCTCTTTCCCGTGACCCGTCTTCACCCTAGTGACCGTCAGAGTTTGGAGATTTGGTTGTTTTCCTTCGCGTTGTGGCAGTAACCACGACATAGCAACGAGCGGCCAGGCACTCGTGCACTGCCACGCAATCCACTTGATTTTCTCCTTCCCCACAGCGCTACCATATCTGTTTTCTCTTGCGAATGCCACCGATTGCTACCTCTTCCCCAAAAAGATCACCAAACCCACAGTGGTGCAACTCAGTTCTAAAAACTCTTACTCGCCAGGTAACTCTATGCATTTCAATTCAAAGTAAACGACATTTTTAAAAATATTGTTTTATTGTTTAAATTTATTTCCGTTTTACGTTTATACCTCACATCATTATTATTTCCTTTCCCTATCATACTTAACAAAACCCAACCTTATCCTACCGATAACAACAATTAGGATTTACGCAATCATCTCTTCCAAATTAAATTATGATAAATTTTAATCATTAAATTCAACCTTCTACCACAACAAAATTCATTGATCTCTCTCTTCAAAAACTCAACAAAAATACTGTATATATTATTATGGATTAATTTCATAGCTTTACAAGATCGTTTAATTTGAGGGCTCTCAAACTTTCTAAAAAGCGTATCCGATTACGGTTTATTATTTGTTATTAGTATTAATTTAATGTTATAATGAAACTCATGCCCACCAAATTATATTCTTTGTATTTTGCTTCACCCAGACTTTGACTTTGAGGCTGCTTCTCAATTTGGACCCCATTTTAATATAGACCATTAAATTTGGGTCGGTCCGTGAATAATTAAATATCTTATGAGATTTTATTATTTTGTTTTTTTCAAGGTGATTAAATATAGTTAAAAGTTCTGACATGTTAATTTATACTTAAGTTTTGTTGTTCATATGGCGGACGACGTGGACCTTTGTCGTCCTTTGATAATTTTTTTTTTTTTAATTAGAACGAATAAGATTTCCACTCGGTTTATTAGTTTTTAATCACCATACTGGATGTGTTATTATTTATTAATAGTGGATGACATGAACAAGAAAATGATTAAAATAATATTGATATATAGCAAATAATTGTTGATACTTCCACAAGTTGTAATATTAAATTTTAATTAGCAAACACAATTTATTAATATTGCTGACGTGTTCCACTAGTTAATCTAGTTTATAAATTATTTAATTAATTGATATTGATTCCTTGTGTTGTGGGCAGGGGAAAGTCCAAACCTTCTATTCCCAATTGAGGTTAAAAATATCCACAAAGCCAAACATGGCAGCGATTCCGGCTCTATGATTCTGAAGGAAGGTATATTCTTAGTTTAAATTATTTCTGTTATTTTTTATATTTAATTTTTCTTTGATTAGGATGCCTTGTTCTTATTTTATTTATATCATCTGATTAGGGCAGCCCACCAATAAAAAGGGTTTATTTTTGTTAATCTAATGTTGTTGTCATTATAAAGGGTTTTATTTTTATTTATTTATTTTTGGTCTGTTTATATAGATTTATTGTCTAATTGATTAATTTTCGACAAATTTGTAGGTTTGTTCCTTTGAAGTTTGAAGAGATTCAGCAAGCATGCCGTACACACCATAATGCTTTAACATCAGATGAATTAATGGCAATGCTCAAATCCAACAGAGAACCTAAATTACAAAGGATGGTTAGTTTCCTTCTTCTTTATTTCTTTTTGTTCTGATATTATTATTATTATTATTATTATTATTATTATTATTATTATTTTTTAAATTCATCTCTTTAACCCCCTGTTTCTGAAACTTCGGTTTTTATCTCATTTAAATGCAATTTCTGAAATAAATTTGTTTAACTTTAGTCTCCCTATTCTAAAATACACAAACATATTTTATGATTCCGCCTCTGTTCGGTTTGACTTCCATTTATTGTTAAAAATTAAGATGGTGAATGGAAAATATTGCAGGGTTGCGAGCTATGCAGAATGGAAGATCTTATACTATCTATGCAAGGACAAACATGGATTGTTGGCCAAGATACAGTAAGACTGTTATGATGGAAGCCTGTTTGAACAATGGAGAGGAAAACAATCAGCCAACAAGAAAGCGTGGATAAGCTTTAAAGGCCTTCTTTCTTAAAACTAATTTCAATTCTATTTGAGTGATTGAATTTAATGCTTCCATTTAAAGTTTGTATAATTTCCATGATAAGTTGCAGTGAATCTCAAATATCATTTGAAATATCTTAATTTAATGACGTAAAAATTGTATCATAAATTTATATAAAGAACGGTGCCCTTAGCCCGAGTTCCGTTCAAGAACTTATCACGTAAGTATTCATGGATTTTTTAATAGTTAGATTAAAGTATACGAATACTTGAGAATTGAGATTGCATCTCCAATAATAATTTAATTGTGCAATTTTCTTCTTCTAACATTTCTTATTAAGTTTTACATTATAATTAGTAAATCATTAATTTAATATATAAAAATGAAATAACAATACAAAATATTATAACAAAAAGAATTTGATATCTTTATAGAACCCAAAAATTATTCAACTTCAAGCACTTGAAAATTTATTTAGAAATGTAGTTATTAAGCTATTATGATTGAAAATAAACAGAAGAGTAAATTGTAATTTACAGAATAAACAGAAATAATTTTACCATTTCCTGGCAGTTTCAATTAAGAAAATCATTTTTCTTTTTAACTATATTTTAAATCTCCAGATTTTTTATAATAAAAATGTGAATAATGTTAACTAACCATAATTAGATAGTTTTAAAGATTTAATAATGTGATTAGATATTGCATTTGCATATCTTTGACAATTGCAATTACTATAACAATAATTTGAAGCATTAAATTCAAAATTCTTTAAACTAAAATAAATTCGTCAAACTTTTCCCACTAATTTCCAGCCAAAAAGTTATTCATAAATCAAAGAGAATATAATAATAAAATATTGCATGAAGAATCCAGAATTTGTGATTGAGATGATCAATTAGTCAACCACAAATATCTCTTTTATCTAACCGTATCTGTTCTTATTCAGATAAAATCAGGGATTTCGCTAGCAGCTAGTTTTTCTTTTTTGGAAAAAAAAAAATAAAAGAGAAAAGGAACTGATATTATTAAGGGCATCTCCAACACAGCACATTTTTGCTGTGAGAATTTTATTCCCGTACTATTTATCCACACTAATTTTGTGCGATACTATTTATCTACTAGAAAATATATTCTATTTTCATGTTTTTGTTATTTAATTATTTTTAATTTATATTTATGTTAATTTAATTATTATTTATAATAATTATATGATTTAAAAATTATTGAAAAATTAAAAACAAAACTTCATTCAATGCAAACATTAAATTACAATTAGCTCAAAATAAATTAACACTAATATAAAAACACTAAAATTAAAAGAAAATACAACATAAACTAAAATAATAATGTAGAATTTTACTTTTGCATATTTTTTTTGATATTTTATATTAGATGTAATGTTTTTTATATTAGTTTATTTAATTAAATAAATAATTAAAATTAGTTTTTTAATTATTATTATTTAATAAAAATATATATATTAATATTTAATTAATATATATATAAATAATTAATAAAAAATTAAGTATTAATAAAAAGAAAATATTCACTCCTAGTATTCCATAATATATGGTGTAATATATTAGAGATGAAGTAGTAAAATATCCTAAAAGGGTGTTAAAGTTACACTTACACCAATAAAAGCGAGCAATGAAAATATCCTCTTGCGGTGGGAAGAACCCGAGAACAGCATAAACTCAAGACCCCACTCACGTAATTGAAAAACAAGATCAAATTACTGTTAGTTGCCGAAAATTTTCCAACACCTGTAGATTGTTTATGTTTAGATTTATTGCTTGACGTTAAAATTAAGGCACGTGTCCTTTTTTATTTAATTAATTCATTGTTATTATCATTAACTATAATTTCGTATTTATCCCTTTGTTTACTGTTCCTTCTTTTACTTAATATAGCTGTGCGATTCGCTCCCTCCCTCTCTGTACTTTTCAGAATCCATTAAAGTTAAAAATTTTAAGTTCCCTTCTTTCCTTCTTTATTTTCTCCACTCATCCCCATTTATTTAACTCTCTTTAGCTATTTCAAATCCAACTCCTGCATCCTCTCTCTCTCTCTCTCTCTCTCTCTCCCCGTTTCTGTGTCTTCTTCTTCTCCTTCATGGCTTCTTCTGCCTTGTCATCAAAAACTAAAAAGGAGGGTATGTAATATGCATAAATTTGCTTTTTTTCATTATTTTTTGGAAATTTATTTATCATTTTTTTTCTTTTTTGGGAACGTTGCAGAAGTTGAAAGATTTGTTCCAAATGAGCATGATTTTCTGCAGAGGCACGTTGCTTTCTTTGATCGAAATCATGACGGGATAGTTTATCCTTGGGAAACCTTTCAAGGTTCTTTTATTTTCTTCTTCTTCATCAAGCTTGAGATTTTTGTTTCTGTATTTTTCTTTATTTTATTTTATTTTTTGGATGATTTTACAGGTTTCCGATCAATCGGTTGCGGCATATTCTTGTCCACCGCTAGTGCCTTTCTCATCAACATGGCACTCAGTTCTAAAACTCTTACTCGCCAGGTAACTCTATGCATTTCAATTCAAAGTAAACGACATTTTTAAAATATTGTTTTATTGTTTAAATTTATATTCCGTTTTACGTTTATACCTCACATCATTATTATTTCCTTTCCCTAATCATACTTAACAAAACCCAACCTTATTCCTACCGATAACAACAATTAGGATTTACGCAATCATCTCTTCCAAATTAAATTATGATAAATTTTAATCATTAAAATTCAACCTTCTACCACAACAAAATTCATTGATCTCTCTCTTCAAAAACTCAAACAAAAAATACTGTATATATTATTATGGATTAATTTCATATGCTTTTACAAGATCGTTTAATTTGAGGGCTCTCAAACTTTCTAAAAAGCGTATCCGATTTACGGGTTTATTTATTTGTTATTAGTATTAATTTAATGTTAATTAATGAAACTCATGCCCACCAAATTATATTCTTTGTATTTTGCTTCCACCCAGACTTTGACTTTGAGGCTGCTTTCTCAATTTGGACCCCATTTTAATATAGACCATTAAATTTTGGGTCGGTCCGTGAATAAATTAAATATCTTATGAGATTCTTATTATTTTGTTTTTTTCAAGGTGATTAAATATAAGTTAAAAGTTCTGACATGTTAATTTATTACTTAAGTTTTGTTGTTCATGATTGTGTCGGACGACCGGTGGACCTTTGTCGTCCTTTGATAATTTTTTTTTTTTTAATTAGAACGAATAAGATTTCCACTCGGTTTATTAGTTTTTAATCACCATACTGGATGTGTTAATTATTTAATTAATAGTGGATGACATGAACAAGAAAATGATTTAAAATAATATTGATTATAATAGCAAATAATTGTTTTGATACTTCCACAAGTTGTAATATTAAATTTTAATTAGCAAACACAAATTTAATTAATATTTGCTGACGTGTTCCACTAGTTAATCTAGTTTATAAATTATTTAATTAATTGATATTGATTCCTTGTGTTGTGGTGCAGGGGAAATGTCCAAACCTTCTATTCCCAATTGAGGTTAAAAATATCCACAAAGCCAAACATGGCAGCGATTCCGGCGTCTATGATTCTGAAGGAAGGTATATTCTTTAGTTTAAATACTATTTCTTGTTATTTTTTTTATATTTAATTTTTCTTTGATTAGGATGCCTTGTTCTTATTGTTATTAATATATTCATCTGATTAGGGCAGCACCACCATAATACAAGGGTTTATTTTTGTTAATCTAATGTTTGTTGCATTATTAAAAGGGTTTTATTTTTATTTATTTATTTTTGGTCTGTTTATATAGATTTATTTGTCTAATTGATTAATTTTCGACAAATTTTAAGGTTTGTTCCTTTGAAGTTTGAAGAGATGTTCAGCAAGCATGCACGTACACACCATAATGCTTTAACATCAGATGAATTAATGGCAATGCTCAAAACCAACAGAGAACCTAAGGATTACAAAGGATGGTTAGTTTCCTTCTTCTTTATTTCTTTTTGTTCTTGATATTATTATTATTATTATTATTATTATTATTATTATTATTATTATTTTTTAAATTCATCATCTTTAACCCCCTTGTTTCTGAAACTTCGGTTTTTATCTCATTTAAATGCAATTTCTGAAATAAATTTGTTTAACTTTAGTCTCCCTCATTCATAAAATAACACAAACATAATTTTATGATTCCGCCTCTGTTTCGGTTTGACTTCCATTTATTGTTAAAAATTAAGATGTGAATGGAAAATATTGCAGGGTTGCGAGCTATGCAGAATGGAAGATCTTATACTATCTATGCAAGGACAAACATGGATTGTTGGCCAAAGATACAGTAAGAGCTGTTTATGATGGAAGCCTGTTTGAACGAATGGAGATGGAAAGACAATCAGCCAACAAGAAAGCGTAAATCCACTAGCATTTTACGTTAATGGATATATCTTTCATTTCTTCTTTTTATGAACTTGTAAATAAATTGCATGAACGAAAATTATAAAAAAAAAAAAAAAAAAAGGAAATGTTATATCAATTTCTTTTTTCTATTGCAGTGATATGTAAAAGAACAGCTTTGGTTTATAGAAATGTCGCGCAGCCGATGGATAGTCCGGATTTGAGATTTGATGATTTGCTTAAAGAAAAATGAATTTGTTTTATGTACTATTCTTTGGTGTGTGTAATTAATTAGAAGCTTATTTTATGTAAAATCTCTAATTGTGTTTATAATATGTAGTTCTCTTAGGACCAAATCAAGGCATTTGGACAAGTGAAGTTTGTAACGTTATTATTTTTAAATGTATGCATTTTCTTTTAAGTCTTTATCTATTGTCAGATTTAATGTTTAATATTAGAAATGTGGTCTTATAAAAAAAGAATGGTATTAATTAAGTCTACACATTCTTTTTTAATTCAATAATAATGAAATGCTGTTTAAAATATAATTTATAGTATATTATATTTGATTTATCTCTTTTAATATGTTTTTCTAATTTCTTGGTTAACCCACATTTTTTTTTGGGGGTCGAAATTCCAGTTGTCACTTTATTTCAGATTAAAATTAAATTCAATGATCTATAATTCATTCAACAACCTCGTATTTTCCTTTAAAAACAATGCACAGGATTTTTTTTTTTTTCCCCATTATCACTCCATTACATTAGATTTCTCTTTTCCAGTAGAAGGTTAGAATAGGGAGACCACCCTTGAGTGCCAAACAGTAGACGGATGTGGGATACTATGATTAAGGTATAAATCTTAGATTATTTTTTGGTTGCAGAATTTAAGAATTTAAGCAAGCAATCACATCGTGGGATATGTGCATAACTATAATGATTATTTGAAGTACGTGTAAGGTGACCTTAAAAAACTTATTAAAAAAAAAAAAAGTGTAGAAGGGGGCGACATTTCAAAGCTATCAAACAAAGAATCTTTAATGCAAGGAGCAAGTATGAGGCTTTTTTTATGATTTTTTATTTTTTTTTTTGGCTAAATATATGCACTCACCCATAGTTTGCCGTAAGAACAATTAGTACCAAAAAGTTTGGAAATAACAAACACCTACTTTTCTTTAATATTTGTTTGTTAAGTTTAACCAAAGAATGTTAGAATAGTAAATTCAAAAATAAATGAAAGTTAATTATGTCATTTATCCCTTTCTTCTTCCACATATCTTCTCTCAACTCTTCATCTTCCTCCTTTCTTCTTCAAAGCCGCCGATACCGACTTTCTTTCCTTTTTCCTTCACCTCTCATCACCATCCTCCTCCATCCCCAACCAGATTTAACCCATTTTTGGTTGGAATTTCCTCTTTCCCGTGACCCGTCTTCACCCTAGTGACCGTCAGAGTTTGGAGATTTGGTTGTTTTCCTTCGCGTTGTGGCAGTAACCACGACATAGCAACGAGCGGCCAGGCACTCGTGCACTGCCACGCAATCCACTTGATTTTCTCCTTCCCCACAGCGCTACCATATCTGTTTTCTCTTGCGAATGCCACCGATTGCTACCTCTTCCCCAAAAAGATCACCAAACCCACAGACCAAACAACCATGATTTTGAAAAAATAAAAAAAAACCAGATAAACCCACACTACCACAGATAGAGATTGTGCTAATTTGTTAGTATTCAAAGGTTTTTAGAGATTTGTGTTTCCATAGTTAGATTAAGGGTATATAAAGATATGGGTGTTAGTTTTGGTGTCGGCGTCAATGGTGGGGATTGTTTGGTGCTAATGGCAACATGTATCTTTCTTTTTGGAGACTTTACTATTGAGTTGATTGTGTGTGGGTGTTCTTTGCTATTGATTTTCGGTGTCAAAATCAATCGAGGTGCGTTTTCTCAATTTTCCGACAAGGTTGGTGCTAATGGTGGCACCATTATCTTTCACGTTTTGTTGGATTTTTGGTGTTTGATTGGTGGGTTGCTGTTTATAAGTGTTTGTGTTGCTGTTGTGGTTTTTTTTTCTAGTCGTCGGCCGCTCCTCCATCACTCCAACCTTGCTACTTTATCGTCATCCTGTTCAACCTTTTGCCGCATCCAGCTCCCGTCTGCCTAGCAACCAACTCTTCCACCTTTTACCACACTATCCTTCAGCAAACGAAATTCATTAACAGAACCCGACAGAAAGTGGGCGTTTATCATTTCTAAACTTTTTGGGTAGCAATTTGTCTTTACAGAAAACTACGGGTAGCTGCATGTCGTTCGACCTTTTTTTTTTTTTTTTTTTTTTAATCTCATTAAGAAACAAATATGGCAAAGTTCAAACAAAAGAAGTTAGAAAAAAAATATTAAAACTTATTTTTTCATGTTTATTGTGTTCAGAGTTAGAAATCATTTTAAAATGTAAAGGATTTAGAGTTTTATGAAATAAAGAGATTTATAATATTTGGGGTGTACGACAAAATTAAATACCCCCTTGGTAATTATAAAATTAAAAAATATATTATGTTTTTAAACACTATAATTGAGGATTAGAAAGTGATTAAGTGAGGCTTAAATAACACTACTCTAAAACAAGATTTAAAAAAGAAGTGATTTTTAGCGTAAACTATTTTACTCTTTAGCCCAAACTTCACTCTTCAGTTTTAAGTAAGGTTATAATTGTAATAACATATTTTATTCTTCTTCCTCCATTTTTTTCACTTCAAAGCTTTGTATTTAAACAAATTAATTCATATTTTGCGTGATATCGATAGAGATGATTTGTCTCATGCTTTCTAATTAATTTTGATTAATTTAAATTTGCTTTTAACTTTTTAGCACTCTAAATACAAAGCTTTGAAGTGGAAAAATAGAGGAAGAATAATAAATTTTTTTTTATTACAATTATATAGTCACTTAAAATTGAAGATTGGGGCTAAAGAGGAAAACAGTGGGGCTAAAAATAACTTTCCTTTTAAAAATCCTTTCCAAAATGTTATAACTAGGATTAAATCAGTGGAAAATTGGGCCCTTTCCGAGAGGTAAAGATATCAAGGCCCAAGTATGTAATATTGGCCATGGGATTTTAATTCAACGTTCAACTGTTTATGGGCTCTGGAATTGACAACTTCATCATGTGTGGCCCAGTATATACATGAACAGCCAATTTTAATTATATAATTAATGATATAGTAGAATAATATATCTTCTATGTTTGACGTCGTAAAACCTCATGCTAAAGGCAAATGTATGATACTTTGCAATGTATATAAAAACACAAAGTAATTGGGTAATTATATGCTGATGTCACAGAAATAGATGGTTCTATAGTGTCTTGGAATATTTTAATAAATTGAATGAAATAAATGGAATGAAAGTAGTGGCCTAACTTGAAAATTTGAAAGATGAAAGATAGTAGATTAATGAAGAAGGTTTTAAGAATTGGAAAGCAAAAAGGTGAAAAATAATGGTGGAATTCAATGTTTTGTCCCACATTAAGTAGTATAGAAAAATGTTTTTTCTCTCATTTCAAACACATCAAAATTTTTCAATCTGTCATTTTCACTATAGTTTTTAAGGTTTTCTTTTGTTAGAGTTAAGACTTAATTCAAATCGTTAGAACAGAAGAGTGGTGCTTCTCTTGCTATTCATCTGTCGTTATATCATAAAAAACAAACGCTGTTCAAATCCTTGTGCACCCAAGTGAAGGAGGCAAATCTGTTTTAAAGAAACTGTGTGTTACACAAGCCTCGGCATTCATCCTAAGGTTGTATTCTTCGGATCTCTTCCTGTTATTCTGAAGGATTTTCTACACGTGATCACGTTATTGGTATTGTTAATATTATTGTATTTTCATTTTATTTTATTGGTATTTAATTATATTATTTTTATATTCAATAGATTTATTATTTGCGGTTATTAATATAATAATTGATTATTTTTATAACATAGTGTCTATTACTCTATCGAATCTAACATAAAAGCTTATAGTCATGGTTATAACTTTATTTTGCTATATATATATATATATGAAAACACACCTATTAGTTGGGTGATTAAATGCAAATGCTATATGGATAGGTCCCTCTTATATATATATAAGTCCCATCTTGTCTTACAAAATTAATTATGGATCCCTTAATTTAATTTAATTTTTTTTTATATTGTTGGCCACAATTAAAGCAAAAATTCCTTTACTAACATCAAAATATATAGTTAAATCAAATCTTTTGCCTAACAACTTATTGTACAAAAAAAAAAAAAAGTGGTAATTAATTAAGTACATTGCCTAAAATGTGGTAACGTGTTATATAAAATCATGTCAATTTTCTTCTATTTAATATATGTATTCCTTTGATTTTGTGTTTAATTTCTGCCTCTTAGTTTTCCAAAATTTTCTAAATTCTCAAAAAATAAAAAAATAATAATAATAATGTTAAAAGCTACAAATGATTGCTAATAAAGCAAATTAGTACTTACTTGGAGTTCTAATTGTATGAAACTAGAAGTAATGAATTAAATTAACAATTAAAATAGCTTTTTATATGAATCATGAGCTCCTTTTTTCAATTAAAGAAAATTATTACTTAATATGAGTTCTCATTGAATAAAACTAGAAGTTATTAATTACATTAACTATTTAAATAGCCTTTTTTATGTATCATTAGTTCCTTTTTTTTAATTAGTACTAAAAAAACGAGTTCTCATTCAATAAAACTAGAAGTAATAAACTAAATTAACTATTTAAATAATCTTTTCATGTATCATGGGGTCCTTTTTTAATTAAACTCATGCGCATAATGATGCAAACTAATCCCAATAAAAAAAAAGTCCTTTTTTCTGTATCCAGAATTTCTGGTGTATGTCTTGTCTCTATTAATAATACTTAAGATAATTAATCACAGTTTAATTCTAATAAACAATCACTACGTCCTCATTAATGATTAAACTTGTTGAACATTTCAGAAACATAGCGTGGTGGGTTTGATCAACTTTAGCTCATTAGAATGTTACAAATTCCAATGAGCACTATTTCATTGTGATAAGGATGAAGTTTCCAACCGAAGATTAGTTGTAAATAAGGTGTCGTGTCATTAATCTTTGGCCAAATCAAAGAAGTAAAATGTCACCATTTGTCAAATTAAACTCATAATCGTAAATAGTATTATTAATGTAATTAGTT